TGCGTGGCTCATCTTTTACATCCTCCAAAACAACATTTGTTGTGTGATGTTTTCCTAAACGATGTGTGGCCCACCTCTCACATAATCCAAAACAACATTTGCGGTGTGATTTTTTTCCCAAACATGCGTGGCTCATCTCTTACATCCTCCAAAACAACATTTGTTGTGTGATGTTTCCTAAACGATGTGTGACAAACCTCTCACACACTCCAAAACAATATTTGTTGTGTGATGTTTTCCCCAAACGATGTGTGGGCACCCTCCAAAACAATATTTGTTGTGTGATCTTTTCCTAAACAATGTGTGGGCACCCTCCAAAACAACAATTGTTGTGTGATTTTTTCCCCAAACGATGTGTGGGCACCCTCCAAAACAATATTTGTTGTGTGATGTTTTCCTAAACAATGTGTGGGCACCCTCCAAAACAACATTTGTTGTGTGATGTTTTCCCAAACGATGTGTGGGCACCCTCCAAAACAACATTCGTTGTGTGATGTTTTTCTAAACGATGTGTGGGCACCCTCCAAAACAATATTTGTTGTGTGGTGTTTTCCTAAATAATGTGTGGGCGCCTTCCAAAACAACATTTGTTGTGTGATGTTTTCTTAAGCGCTGCGTGGGCATCCTCCAAAACAACATTTGTTGTGTGATGTTTTTTAAACGATGTGCGGGCACCCTCCAAAACAACATTTGTTGTGTTATTTATTCCTAAACGATGTGTGGCTCATCTCCCACATCCTCCAAAACAACATTTGTTGTGTGATGTTTCCTAGATGATGTGTGGCTCACCTCCCCCATATCCTCTAAAACAACATTTGTTATGTGATTTTTTCCTAAACAATGTGTGTCCTAAAATGCTCTTTCGAACAATGTATGGTTTCACAAACTCCTAAAAGCAACATGTAATTTGTCATGCCCTTACAAGTAATACTTGGTGCGTATTGTGTGTAAGGGCGACTTCAGAATTTATTGTGGGAGGGCTTTGCATGTGGGGAGTGGTGCTAAGGCAAAGGTTTGACCTTAGTATGTTTTGACAGAGCAACTTCATTACTGATTTGGAGCAGTTGTTATCTCTGAAGTCACTATCCTGTCTAGGCTATAATACAAATACATTGTTAACGTAGCCAGTTCTAGTGAATGCTTCATGAGAGAGAACTTTAATCAGCTGTCTATACAATCCGTCTCCGACTGTGTGAATAATGAAACAACAAACAAATAAAAAAACATGGTGAAATATGCAATCTGCGCAAAAAACAACAAAAATCAGTGGCTAATTTAAAATACGTGATGTTGTTAAGTACAGTAAGTATTAGTTATCATTTAGTAACTTACAAAACATCTATTATTGTTTGGTGTAATGTCTCATTTAACCTAGCCTTAAGCTTGTAATTATTTGTACATAGGACTATTCCCAATGACGAGAGCTCGTAAGTTCTCGAAACGTTAGGCAGTTCACAAAATATAGTTAATTGTATGTAACTCTAAGTATTATTTTGACTTTTGGAAAATGAAATCTGTTACTAGTGATTTTTTATACAAGTTAAAAAACTAAGTACTGTAATCAAAGGCGTCACTAAAAGTTAATAATTTGTTTATTTATTTACAAAACAAACAGACACACACACATATCTATATAACTATAATAGTACTGTCTGTTGTATGTCCATGTAACTACTTCGCAGGGTGTGGATGGATTTGGATCTTCACCAAAATTGGTATGGAGGTTCATTGGATTTATTGGGAGATAAATAAAGATTTTCAGTTTTACATGTTGCGTGTTTCAGTTTTTATAGGTATTTTGCGTTTTTTACAATTACATATAAGGGAAGCAACTTTTCGTGTCCTAAGATAACCTTTCATTAATCATGAATGTATATAACTTCCGTCCAAGGGACGAGTACTCCAGCTAGTATATAATTTATTTGTTATTATTATATTTCTATTTCATGTATTATTTTACACTGATAGCTTTGTATACGGGTTTAGGACAAATCCATAGCTCCTAATCTGGACTAAAATATCATTAACAACGAAGGGTATCCAACTGGTGAAACAATGCATTTTGATCTTTATAAGTACGAACGTAAGAACAGCATATTTAATTAGCTATACTTATTTCCGGGTAGATTTTGAGTTTTGATTTATCTAGCCTGCTTTGATCGGAAATTATTAGTAATATGGTGTGCGAGATCAAAACTGCCTGCTAATATGTTCTGTAATGTACGTTGTTATTGCTTATTTAACACTGTCTGAGCATTATAATCTTCAGTCAGATCACAGCTCTAGTTTGTTAGTAACAAACAGTAAACTATAAATAACGACATTCACTATATTCCTAATTTTCCATAACAACATTATTTGAAAGGAAAACAGACAAAGTAAATGCAAACGTGTGTGTCTGACTGTATGTGTTACATACACCCTATATTTTAGAAGTGATCATGAAAAAAAAAAAGAAGACTTATCTGTTTATTTACCTTTTACATAATACATAGTTACAATAGACTACAGTTTGATAAAATCTGCGCCATATTTATCAAAGAGTTACAATTTCATAAATTAAGAAGATATTTTGGATTATGCAGAATTGGACACCCATAACAATTAGGTTAAAACGTTTCGGTTATCAAGAACTGAATAGTCATAATAAGTGCGCTGTACAAGAAAACAAAGTTGTTTGCCTACTCGTGTAGATATATAATTTTGGGTTTGCAATCTCCGTATACTGATTTTTGTTTGAAGTTACCGCTCGTTCATCCAGGGATGTCTAGAGTTCTTTTTGTACTTAGTATTCTTCTTTGCGTATTTTCTCAACCTTATGCGACACGTGGGTTAAAGGTCAAGTATCAGAAGAAGGGCAACTAGTTAGCTGCACCCACCTTTTGTTCGAATACTTTTATCTGAACAGCAAAACTGACTGACAGAGCTATAACACCTCCATAGTGGAGCATGTTCAGCGGCATACCGAGATTCAAACCTTGTACCGTTTGATTTACAGCCCGACACAATATATTAATTATGTTAGCGTTTATGAGAACGTATCGTTCTCTGATACTTACATGTCTGTTTCAACAAAGCGAAATATTGTCATGAGGTGGATTTCCACACCTCCTTGAACGTCTGGCTATTCTTTTACCAAGGAAAGGCCGATAATTATTAAGCTGTGGAAGTGATATCTTCGAGTTATTCAATACTTAAGTAAGAAAGCACCATAATTCAGTACCTTGTTATTAATTATTTACTCCAGTTATTCAATACTTAAGTAAGAAAGCACCATTATTCAGTACCTTGTTATTAATTATTTACTCCAGTTATTCAATGCTTAAGTAAGAAAGCACTATAATCCAGTACCTTGTTATTAATTATTTACTCGAGTTATTCAATGCTTAAGTAAGAAAGCACTATTATTCAGTACCTTGTCGTTAATTATTTACTCGAGTTATTCAATGCTTAAGTAAGAAAGCACTATAATTCAGTACCTTGTTATTAATTATTTACTCGAGTTATTCAATACTTAAGTAAGAAGGTACTATTATTCAGTACCTTGTCGTTAATTATTTACTCGAGTTATTCAATGCTTAAGTAAGAAAGCACTATTATTCAGTACCTTGTCGTTAATTATTTG